TATTTTCAAATTTTGAGGTGTAATTGTTTTTTAAATAGAAATTATCTGCATTGGCTAACTTAAAGGATCTCTTCTTTAAGCACATTTCTTTCAATAGTCCTAAATACCTTCATAGTATCTGTAATTTATGGTAGTTGGATTTTTCTGATTTGTTTCATTTACTCAGATACATCATAGCTTTCTGCCTCAGTTCTTAAATTCATATTCTTGATCTCAAAATCTCTAAAGCTTTTACAAACAAATGTTGGTAAATGAGTAACTAATTCCTGTTTGGATGTTGATGCTCGTATTAGATTATGTTGTGAAGGAGAAGCCTCTATTAGCTGGGGATATGCAGGGAGGCCCTGACTACCTCGTTCTCAAAAACTTAGATACTGACAGTATCCGGATTATTGGAAGTGTGCTTGGTCAAAGCATTGCTTTGGACTACTTTGTTTCACAGGTAAGATCATTGTACAATTTTCTCAATCTTCTTAGATGTAATATTATTGGTCAGTTAGTAGAAATGAAAGCATTGGGTTGCTTGCAAGCTCTGTAATGTTCATTCCAAAAATTGGAACTGGGCTTGGTAAAAGCATTGCTTTGGATTACTTAACTTCATAGTAAGATCATTGCCTAATTTTCTGAGTCTTCCCAGAATGTAATGTTATGGTCGTTAGTGGAGATGAAAGCATTGGTTTGCATGCAAGCTGTGTAACGTACATTTCAATATTTTCTGCTTGAACCTTGTTTGTGCAAGCATTCAGGTTGTTCATTGTCAGTTGTCATGCTGATGAATATTGTTACTATTGGAACGGTTGCAAGCCATGTACTGTAGATCCCAAGTATTTGTGCTTGAGTGGTGTTTGCATGAGCATTCAGGTTGTTCACTGCCAGTTGTTATGTTAGTGAAAGTTTTTGCTGTTGTTTGAAGCGGCAGCTATTATATCAATAGAAATGAATCTCAATTTATGACAATCCTCTTTTTTTCCTGTCAGGTTGATGGTATGGTTGAAGAGTTTGCAGGTATAAATCGAGCTATGGAGAAAACTGGAACTTTCACAATGGATGGGAAGAAGCTTCTTCAACTTGTTGGCAAGGCTAACTCAAATCTAGCTGATGTGATTCTGAAAGTTGGTCTTTTTGAGAGGCATGTCACTTCT